TGTTGGGAAAACTGGACAGCCACATGCAAAAGAATGAAAATAGACCCACTATCTTACATCGTACACAAAAACTAACTCAAAATGGATTAAAGAACTTAAGACCTGAAACCTTGCACATGCCACAACTAGAAGGACCTGCAACTAAGATATACAACTATGTACGGGGGGGTTTGGGGAGATAAAGCAGGAGAAAAAAAAAAAAAAGATCTGAAACCTTAAAACTCCTAGAAGAAAACAGAGGTGGTAAACTTCTCATCTGTCTTGGTGATGATTTTTTTAATTTGACACTAAAAGCAAAGGGTGTTTGACACTAAAAGCAAAAATAAACAAGTGGGGCTGCATCAAACTAAAAAGCTTCTGCAAAGCAAAGGACCATCAACAAAATGAAAAGGCAGCCTATTAAATGGGAGAAAATTTTTGCAAATCATGTATGTGATAAGGGGTTGATATCCAAAATACATGATAAACTCATGTAACTTAATAGCAAAAAAAAAAAATAATCAGTTCAGGGGCTGGGCTGGTGGTGCAGTGGTTAAATTCATGTGCTCCGCTTCAGCATCCTGGGGTTTGCCAGTTTGCATCCTGGGTGCGAACTGGTGCACCGCTTATCAAGCCATGCTGTGACAGACGTGCCACATATAGAATAGAGGAAGGTGGGCAGAGATGTTAGCTCGGGGCCACTTTTCCTCAGCAAAAAGAGGAGGATTGGTGGCGGATCTTAGCTCAGGGCTAATATTACTTCCTTAAAAGATAAAAAGTAACCAGTGCAATTAAAAAATGGGCAAAGGCTCTGAATAGACATTTTTCCAAAGAAGACATACAAGCGGCCTACAGTTACATGAAAAGAAACTCAACATTACTAATCATCAGGGAAATGCAAATCAAAACCAAAATGAGATATCACCTCATACCTGTCAGAATGGCTATTAACAAAAAGACAGGAGATAAGTGTTGGTGAGGATGTGGAAAAAAGAGAACCCTTGTGCACTGTTGGTGGGAATGTAAATTGGTATGGCCACTATGGAAAACGGTATGTAGGTTCCTCAAAAAATTTAAAATAGAACTGTATGATCCAGCAATTCTACTTCTGGTTATTTGTCCAAAGTGAACAAAAACTTTTAACTCATAAAGATAATACGCACCCCATGTTCATTGCTTCATTATTTACAATAGCCAAGACAGAGGAACAACCTAAGCGTCCACCAATGGATGAATGGATAAAGAAAATGTGAGCTACACACACACATACACAGGAATATTGCTCAGCAGTAAAAAAAAGAAATAAATCTTGGCGTTTGTGGCAACATGGATGGACCATGAGGTCATGAAGCTAAATGAAATAAGTTGGACAGAGAGAGACACATGATCTCACTTATGTGGAATTAAAGAAAAATGAAAAACCAACTCATAGATACAGATTGGTGGTTGCCAGAGGTATGGTGAAGTGGGCAAAATGGATGAAGGCATCAAAATATAAAAACTTTCATTCATAAAATAAATGTCATGGGAATGTAGTATACAGCATAGTGCCTATAGTTAATAATACTTTATTGCACATATGAAAGTTACTAAGAGAGGAGATCTTAAAAGTCTCATCACAAGAAAAAAAATTCTAACTGTGTGGTGACAGATGTTAACTAGAGTTATTTTTGTCCTCATTTAGCAATATATACAAATGTTGAACCATTATGTTGTACACCTAAAACTAAAGTTATATGTCAATCATACCTTCAGTTTAAAAAAAAGTTAAAAAAAAGAGTATCCTTGAGGGAAACTGACTTTTATAAAATGTATGTATGTATTTTTTTATTGTTATTATGAGTCATGGTGAAGAATATAGTGTTTACCAGTGTTGCTGGTGCCATTGCCTTGATTTGTGATGAGGCTAGCAGTTTTATACCGACATTTGCTTTTGTATCACAAGTACGTACATAAACACATTGAAAATAGCGTATTTTGTATCACAAGTACGTACATAAACACATTGAAAATAGCGTATAATGTCTTACTATATTTATGAACAAAGGTTTGACCTCACAGATATCCTGAGGGAGCCCTCAGAGACCCCCAAGGGCCTAAAGACCACTCTTGGGGGACTGTGCTTTGAGAACCACTGTTCTAAATTGTGTAGCTTTCTCTTCTTAAGCCATTCTTTAAATCTGTTTGTTTGAAAATATGCGTGTTTAACAGTTAATTTGTTTTATTATTTTCCACTTGGTCCTTGATCTTATAAAGATTACTTACTGTGTAAATAATAATTAAGTTTTCATTCTTCATTGTTTCACTTACAAAATTAGTTTGAGTAGAAGAGGTGTTTATATGTTGAAAAATTAGCAAATTTTGGTTAACCATTCAGAACACATTCAGCTTCGTTTACAGTAGGGCTCTCTTCTTAGTGGAATTCATGGGGAACTTTGCTATGGTAATACTTATTTCTTTCATTGTACAAACATTGATTTCATTCATCTTCTGAAGATCTCATTGGTTTTGTATTCTTGCCCATTAGTTTATATGAAGTATGTGAAGTGGAATATTCACTTTTGAGTGCTTCTTTTCTATTTTCACTTTAATTCTGTTTATTGGGAATCGGATTTTTGTTAAAAAATAAAGATTTTTCATAATTTCCAGGCTGACACTAAATGATCTTTCTGGATAATCATCAAGTCTAATTTGCTCTATTGTAGTATGCCTATTAACTTTTTACCATTATGTGAGAAGTGTTTTACTTTCTCATTGAGCAAATAAGGTATTTATGTGCTTTTGTTTTTGCTGTGGTGAAATTTATCTTTGAGTTTGGTAAGTGCAGCCATTTTTCTTTAGAGCTTATATAGATAAACACAAGGGATGAGCATTTCCTTTTGATTTCTAACTATATTTATATCCTACTTACGGGTTATAGAGCTCATCCTGAGCTTATGTTCAATCTGCTGATTGACCTTGTGTATTATCTGCAACGAGTTTGTATTCTCAAAACATTTATCCCCTCACTGTTAGCATATTTCTGTTCATTGTATTAATGTTGTTTGCGAACTTAATAAACATATATGACAGTGAGGCAAGTGATGCGTGTTTACCAACAATTATGAGACAGCCTAGTTTTGGATGAATTAAAAAGGAACTGCAGTGAATAAATAAATCCAAGAAAAGCTAAGAATAAATATTAGCAAAATAGTTATGAAGGTGTGTTTGTTGTAAAAACTGGAAGCCAAATCAAATGATGTTTTTGACTACTTCTCATTTGCTTTATGTCATATTCCTGATTTTTATTGTAATCATTCTCTTGTTTGACACTATTATGTTTTTTCTGTTTTTCCATTGAGCAGATCACTTTTTAAAAAATCTAGACTCTTCTGCTTAGAATTTATAAAAAGTATGTTGGTACATAAAAAGAAACATATTTATGAATATGTAAATTAGAAGCATAATTATAAATTATATATAATAAAAGAAACTTTATGAACCCAGCTCCTATGTTAATTACTAGAACATTAACTGTACTATTCAAGTTACCCACGTGCTCCTAACAAATTCCATCAGCCTGCCTCGTGTCCAGAGGTAATCACTTTTCTAATATTTGTGTTTATCAATGTGTTGACTTTTTAAAATAGTTTTACTGTACATATATGTACCCCTATGTTATTTGGTTTGGCTGTATTTGGACTTGATAAAAATGGTATCATAGAACATAGCTTTCTGAGACTTGTTTTTTCAAAGATTCATTCCTGATATCTATGGCTGTAGTTGATTTGTCTTCACTAATTTGTAAAATATTTCATTTTGTTGGTATGCCTCAATTTATCAATTGTCCAATCTATGTCCATTTGATGTATTTCTAGGGTTTCTGTTTTTACTGTTAAGGGCATCTTTGTACATGTATCCTGATGCACAGGTGCAAGAGTTTCCCTAGATTTTGTACCTGGGAGAGGAAGTGAGGGTCATTTGGTATACACATCAATGTTTTTTGTGTTTGGAGATAAAATCTCAGTTCTAGTACTTCTTTTGTAGGTATTTGTGCCCAAATAAGTATTGTCCACTTTCTCTTTCCCCTCCTTTGCACCATTATATTTTGTTTAACATCACCTTTCTGAGTCCGGTTTCCTGTATGGTTGTTTGTCTGTTATGTCTTCGGACATAGTCTTACTTTCTGGTGATCCAAGCACTGCTTTAAAATATTATTCTTACCTACCATCTGGTTTTATTTATCTTCTCAGGAGTTCACTTTAGAGTGTTTCATTCATAGTAGTACTTTAATATTTCTTAGTACATTTGCAATTGTGGTATAGTTATTGGTGAATTGGTGTCGTCTCAGGGTCTCATTGTATGTCTTATCTCTGTTTCTGTTTCTCTGCCTAAAGCACAATAGGTAACCATTTGAGGGAGAACTGTCTTATCCTTTCAGTTAACATGGTATAGGTAAAATTATGTATTTAGGATCATAAACTTGTTTTTTATGGGATTTATATGCCAATATATTTCAGGTTTGTTGTCTTAGTCCATAAATATCTGGTTTAATTATTCTGATCTTCTAATGTATATATCAAACTATTTAACCTATATAAAACTGCCGCTTATTTTAATAACTTAAGTACATATTCTGTACAATCAAGCACTATTCCTGTTATACAAACGGTACAAGGCTGCTATATAGGGATGATGAAAAAGCAATTAGTTTTCTTTTGATAAGTGTTTTCTAACAATTCTGCATATTAAAATTCTCTAAATTTTAGGATGACAGTTATAATGCATTCTATCTTCACTTAATTTGGAGAGTTGAAAGAGACTTTTCATTTCATTCTTGCAAAATTGGCCTTTAGAGCCTATTTTTCACTTTAAAATAAAAATTGGAAAATATGATCTAAGAACTTTGGGTTTTTACCATTTGCAATTATTTTAATATGAAGAACTTTTGAAATTAAATATGCAAGCATTTGGATATTCTGTGCAGAAAAAGAGTATGGTTTATTCTGAGTTATAAGTGTCTTTTCTTGTTATCACCTTAGACAAAGAAACAGCCTTGGTATAACAGCACATTAGCATCAAGACGAAAACGACTCACTGCTCATTTTGAAGACTTAGAGCAATGTTACTTTTCTACAAGGATGTCTCGTATCTCAGGTGCGTATTCAGGACTTCCTAAAATATCTCAAACTCGTATTTCAGATCCATTTCTAGCTTCTTATGGTGGATTTATGGAAAATCCTGTTCTTAAAGCAAAAGTATATATACATGTTTTTTCTGTTTTTAAAAAGTGATCTTTATTTTTTCAGAGCAATTTTGAGGGGAAAAATTGAGGGAAGGTACAGAGCATTCTCCTCTACACACACACAACTTCCCCCACAATCAACATTCTGCACCACCATGGTGCATTTGTTACAATCGATGAAACTAATGAGTCAATTTACACATCATTATCACCTGAAGTCCACAGTTTACCTTAGGGTTCACTCTTGGTTTTATACATTATATGGGTTTTGACAAATGTATACTGACAAATATCCACCACTGTAGTGTTATAGAGAATAGTTCCACTGCCTTGAAAATCCTCTGTGCTCCACCTGTTCATTTTTTCCCCCACCCCCTAACCTCTGGCAACCTGATCTTTTTAACTGTCTCCATAGTTTTGCCTTTTCCAGAGTGTTGTATATTTGGAATTATGCAGTACATAGCCTCTTGGGATTGGCCTCTTTACTTAGTAATACACATTTAAGTTTCATCCATGTATTTTTTTTTTTTTATATTAAGGTTATGATAGTTTACAACCTTGTGAAATTTCAGTTGTACATTATTGTTAGTCATGTTGTAGGGTACACCACTTCACCCTATGTGTTTGTGCCCGCCTCCCACCCCATCTTTCCCCTGGTAACCACTGATCAGTTCTCCTTGTCTATATGTTAACTTCCACCTATGAGTGGAGTCATACAGAGTTCGTCTTTCTCTGTCTGGCTTATTTCACTTAACATAATACCCTCAAGGTCCATCCATGTTGTTGTGAATGGGAAGATTTTGTCCTTTTTTATGGCTGAGTAGTATTCTATTGTATATATATACCATACCTTCTTTATCCAGTCATCGGTTGCTGGGAGCTTAGGTTGGTTCCACGTCTTGGCTATTGTAAATAATGCTGCGATGAACATAGGGGTGCATGGGACTTTTGGAATTGCTGATTTCAGGTTCTTAGGATAGATACCCAGTAGTGGGATGGCTGGGTCATAAGGTATTTCTATTTTTAACTTTTTGAGAAATCTCCATACTCAAAAGTATGTATTTTTGATGTAGTTGACCAGAGCAGTATGGAGGTTTTTAGAGGTCTTGGAGAACATTCCTTTCCCATAGCTATTTTTGTTCTCTTTCTCTGTTTGGAAATTTTAATCTTCATATAGTGTGCTACGTAAAGTTAAAAAAAAAATCAGCCATGAATATATAGCTAGCAAAAATAAGTTCCATTGAGTTGCCTCCAATTACTCAACATTTAATAAGTTCTAAGCTCTGTCCTCTGTGCTACGAATAAAAAGATGCAAGTATCAGTTCTTATTGCCAAGGAGTATTGTAAATTTTGTGGGGACAAGCAACAGGCAGATAATTCAATGTGGTATTATATTTTACATAGATATTATGGGAAGGGAGAAAAATATCCACTAATATAGCTGGGAGTGAAAAAGTCAGACAAGTTGAAAATGGGGAAATGTAAGGGAATGATCACTGTAGGGATTTCAGAGGAGTTGTATTTAATCAAGGCTAGTATATATTAACTTAAAAAGGTAAGTAGAAACGCGTTCAAAGTAGAGGAATTAACTTAATGCAAAGATGTCGACGTGATAGCATAGGATATTTTTATTGCAATAGAAAAGTAACGTAGTTCTGCCCCTCTTTGTTAGCTCTCTGATCTTTAGCCTTTCTTACTGTCTTTGCTCACCAATGAAGTAGGGATATTAATACCAACCCTACAGGTTTTGTTTTTAATGTTTATAGGTGATAGATATAAAATAAAATGCCTGGTATAAGTCGGGTGCTCAGTTAATGGATGTCATTAGTAATACACTTGCTCAAAATGAGGGCCACCAGTGGAAAAAAAGTCTAATATTTTATTTGTTGTTAAAAATTTGGCCTTGGTTTTCTCTTGAAGAGGCATGTTTCTATTGTAATCTACACATTGCTTAGATCCTTTGGATGAATTTGCCTGGGGGTTGGTGGTGGATACAATAATAAAAATATATTGGATTTACATAGCATTTTTTCTGTGAAGACTAGGAGGAAGCCAAACTTTGTTTACAAGTGTGTTTGAAGTTAACAATCAACAGTTTTTATACAAATGGAAAGCTTTCATTTTATTGCCTGAGAATCAAGTCTTTTATTGAGCCTGTGTAATACTCTATAAACTGCCATAGGAAGCTTTTAAGTTGATTGTCTGAGGCCTACATTCTGACTGATAGAGGATTCATGTTAACTCTTTCAGATGTTGTGTTGGTATGATGTTGAAATACAACCACAGATGAGTGGCAAACATTAAACAAAAAGAGAGCTTGGAATAGGTTATTGTTATTAATAATTTTTTTGTTTTGGCTTGAGAAAGATTTGCCCTGAGCTAACGTCTGTGCCAATCTTCCTCTACTTTGTATGTGGGATGCCTCCACAGCATGGCTGACGGATGGAGTTAGGTCCGCACACAGGATCTGAACTTGCAAACCCAGGCCACTGAAGTGGAACATGCTGAGCTTTAACCACTTGGCCATGGGACCAGGCCCCTTGTTATTAATAATTTTTAAGTGGCTAGCACCATAGGCATGCTGTGAGATAGTAAAGGTAATCACAAACCAATTTAATTTATTTTGGGGCTGTAGCTTTACAGAAAGGTAGAATAATAAGTTAAAAGCAGGAGGAAGATTAGATTTTAATTTTTGTAGGCATGGCTATATTGTGCTTAAAGCGTGTTGTCTTTAGTTGTTAGGAATCTCAAGTTTAACTTTTCAAATTTGCATATCGTCCACACTAATTATATTGCTGAATATGAAGTTTCTCCTACTATCCTTGACTGTGAAGAGGAAATTTTACCTTCTGTGTGATGGGGTACCTAAGAGTTTCATTGTCCTTTTGTAAGTTTTCAAGTGAGACTCCACCTCCCTAACATCCTCAACTTTTATTTTCAACTATGAAAATAAGAGATGAAGATCAAGAAATTAATGCCTTGGACTCTTAATTGTAATTGAAAGAGAAGGTAAATTATAAAACATTAGAAGAGAGAAGAGATACCGGACACACTTTTACAAACTTATCTGTAATTAGAATAGGAGAGGTGATATGTCAGCAGGTATGTATGGATGTTGATCATAAACCAACCAAGCAAATAAAATCCTACTTTTTCATAACCAGATAAGTGAAATCTAATGCCTATACTTTCAGATACTGAAATAACTCTTTTTAGTGTTTTCTTTATAACTTCTGTTGCAGGTAGGTGTTAACGAGTGAGTATGAAGGCCAGAAGTTCAGCTACTCTAGAAAAGGATTATGGTCTTGAACAAAATGCACATTCTTGAATGCTTGTGAATTTTATGTACTTAGGAATTGATGTAAACATGTGAAAGAATAGATTAACATTAAAACAATTTTTAAATGAATAATGAAGTTACTGTCTTTCCAGTAAGTATTTATTATATTGAATAGCTCACTGTAATAGGATTATATATTAAAAATCTCAACTGTTACATTCAAACCACTTTGTAATACACTTGTTGGTTTTGCAATAACTCATGTTTTATTTATAGTTTTTTGAATTTCCTGAGAATAATTTTTGTGGAGCAGGAGCTTTATCTCAATAACATTATGATACTGCATGCTAATTGGGTTTGTTCCTTTGCTGGTTTTAAAATGGAAATACTACAAAATTGGACTATTTTAATATAGTTTGTTAGGTGAATCTGCTAAATTAGTGTTTAAATCTTTAAAATGTAAAATATCAGGGACAGAAGCTTCTTTAGTTTCCTCCTGTAATTGTTTTCCTTTGTAATATTTGTTAGAGAAATTTCTTCACGTCAACAATTATCTTTAAGATAACCTAATATCTCTGGACAAAATAAATTCTTTACTATGCTTTATATACTATAGTAACTCTTTTGACTTAATGATTCTTATATCTTAATTTCATTATGCCTGCTATAATTTTCAGAGGATATTTAAGAAGAGAAATCATGAAAATTTGCCTTGAAAAGGTTGTGTGTGTGTGTGAGCTTAGAAGAGGGAAGAAGGTATGAAAACACGATGTTGTAATAGGCTTATTTCAAATTTCAATCTTGGAAGCTAACTAAAGTAATTGTGTATTTTACTTTTAATTCTTTGGAAAGAAAAATACAAGTCCAAACTTAAAGCAGTTTCATAAAAAGAATGACTTTTTAATTTATGCTTTTACTGCAGGCCTGTTTCTAGATTGGAGAATAGATTAGGTGTATTCTCAGGTACTTTGTAAACGGATTTTGTGATTTAAATTCTACATAATTTATAGTTTACTGAATAGTTTACTGAAATGGCCTTTACTTAGAATATTTGTACAGTGTTCTATTGGATGGAATTATTGTTTTCCATATTCCACCAAGACATTTGAGTGAAACGGTTTTGTTTTTGAGAATTAATAATTCATGCATTGCAATTTTCTACTCCCTTCTCATAATTGGATTTGAAACACTTCAAAGTATTATGTGAACAAATACTTCACCTTCTTCTTACTTAAAAACCAGTTATCTTTTATCTAAATTATGTTATTATAAATTGTGTTTTAACAGTAAGTAAACATTGTCATGAGGACGTATATCTGTAAATATGTTCCCTCAAACTAATAGATACCCTGTCCATATATATACTCCTCTTTCCATCCTCACTTTCTCCATTGAAAAGAGATTTTTGTTTTAATAAATGATTTAATTTCTCTTCATCTGAGGTACTTTTTTTGCCTTTCCAAGGAATTATTGCTTAAAAAAGAAAGAGGGTGCCGGCCCCATGGCCTAGTGGTTAAGTTCAGCGTGCTCCACTTTGGTGACCTGCGTTTGGTTCCCAGGCATGGACCTACACGACCTGTCAGCAGCCACGCAGTGGAGGCGACCCACATGTAAAATAGAGGAAGATTGGCACAGATGTTAGCTCAAGGCTAATCTTCTTCAGCAAAAAAAAAAAAAAAAAAAGAGAGAAAGAAAACAGTTCACACTATGTTCTTATTGGTGTTGAAAGAGAATATCTTTCAAAGAACTACTAAAAAATTTTTATTAAGGCTAAAAGATCAGCTAATTACTGTGTGCTAGTCTTCTCTAAATACCTTTTAAGAATTGTGGTTTGTATTTAGAATATAATTTATAATCTGTGGATATTGCTCTTTGGCTTATGTTGCAGTTCAATTAATTTATTTTGTTTTCTTCTTACAGATGACAGTCGAACTGCAAGCCAGTTGGATGAATTTCAGGAATGCTTGTCCAAGTTTACTCGATATAATTCAGTACGACCTTTGGCTACATTGTCATATGCTAGTGATCTCTATAATGGTTCCAGCATAGTCTCTAGGTAAGTATTGAGCAGCACTCTTTACTATTTTCTTTTGCAATAGTATCTGGAGTTTAATTGAATTTGGGAAGCTGTTAGAGTGTTATGCTTAAGAGCCTGTGTTCTGAAGTCACTCTGCCTGCCAGTTTTTAGTTCTGTGGCCTTAGGCAAGTTTCTGAATCTCTTTAGTCCTCAATTTCTTCATCTCTAAAATGGAATGATTAATAGTAACCACCTCATAGCATTGCAGTTTGTTTTCTTGTGACGTCTCTGTGTGGTTTTGATGACAGGGTATCATGAGTGACATCCCTCTTAAGTCTCCCTCCTCTTCAGTTTTCTGGAATAGTTTGTAAAGAATTGGTATTATTTCTTCCTTACATATTTTGTTGAATTCTCCAGTGAAGCAGTGCTGGCCTTGAGGTTTCTTTGAGGGAAGATTTTTCAATATAAATTCAATTTTTAAAAGAGATGTGGAGCTAATCAGTTTATACGTTTCTTCTTGACTGAGCATTATTTTTAGTTTGTGTTTTTCAAGAAATTTGTCTGTTTTATCTAGGTTGTTGAATTTATTAGCATACAAGTGTTCATAATATTCCTTATAATATCTTTAGGTTCTGTAATGATGTTCCCTTTCTCATCCTTGATATTAGAGATTTGTTTTCCTTTATTTTTTTCCTTAATAGCCTGGCCTACAAGTTTATCAGTTTTATTTATCTTCTCAAAGACTGAACTCTTGGTTTATTGATATTCTGTATCATTTTGTTCTTTGTTTCATTGATTTCTATCAACTTTATTATTTCCTTTCTTTAGGTTTAACTTGCTCTTATCTTTCTAGTTTCTTTTTTTTTTAAATGCAGTTTTGTTTTGTTTTATTTTTTTGAGGAAGATTAACCTGAGCTAACATCTACCACCAATCCTCCTCTTTTTGCTGAGGAAGACTGGCCCTGAGCTAACATCCATGCCCATCTGCCTGTACTTTATATGTGGGACGCCTGCCACAGCATGGCTTGACAAGTGGTGTGCAAGTCTGCACCTGGTATCCAAACCTGGTACCCACTGTGCTACTGGGCTGGCTCCTGTTTTGTTTTTTTTTAAAGATCAGCCCTGAGCTAACATCTGTTGCTAATTTTGTTTTTATTCTCCCCAAAGCCCCCCAGTACATAGTTGTATATTCTAGTTGCAGGTTCCTTCTAGTTCTTCTATGTGGGATGCTGCCTCAGCATGGCTTGATGAGTAGTGCTAGGTTGGCACCCAGGGTCGGAACCAACAAAACCCTGGGTTGCTGAAGTGAAGTGCTCGAACTTGACCACTCAGCCATGGGGCCGGCCCCTCTAGCTTCTTAAGACAGAAACTGAAGTGATTGAGTTGAAACTTTTCTTCTTCTCTTTAAATTAATATAGTTAATTTGTGCTATAAACTTCCCTCCAAACACTGTATTTGCTGCATCCCACAAATTTTGATGTGATATCTTTTCTTTTTCCAAATTTTTTTTCATTGTGGTAAAATATCTGTAACATAAAATTTACTATCTCAACAAGTGTACTGTTTAATGGTATTAAATACATTCATAGTATTGTGCAGTTATCATCACCATCTCCTTAATGCTTGACATGTTGTAAAACTGAAACTCAGTGCCCAGTAAACAACTCTTCTTTTCCACCTCCCCCCAGTTCTGGCAACCACCCTTCTATTTTCTGTCTCTATGATTTAGACTACTGTAAGTATCTCATGTAAGTGGAATCATGCAATTTTTGTTTTTTTGGACTGGCTTATTTCACTTAGCTTAATATTGTCAGTGTTCATCCTTGTGTTATAGCATATGTCAGAATTTCCTTTCTTTTTAAGTCTGAATAACATTCCATCGTATGTACTTAGCACATTTTGCTTGTCTCTTTGTCCCTTGGTGGATACTGGGTTGCTTCCATGTTTCGTTTTGTTTCTTAATTAATATTTTCATTGGGATCACAGTGGCTTTATAACATGATATAAATTTCAGGTATACATCATTATCTTTCAACTTCTGTATACTACATCATGTTTGCTACTAAAAGTCTCGTTGCCATCTGTCACCATACAAATGTGCCCTTTTACTACTTTTGCCCTCCCCCCTACCCCTCCTCTCTGGTAATCACTGATCTGCTCTCTGTATCTGTGTGTTTGTCTGTCATTGTTGTTTAATCTTCCACATGTGAGTGAAATCATATGGTATTTGGCTTTCTCTGTCTTACTTAGCTTAGCATAATACACTCAGGGTCCATCCGTGTTGTCACAAATGGCAAGATTTCATCTTTTTTATGGCTGAGTAGTATTCCATTGTATATGCACACACCACATCTTTATCCATTTATCTGTTGATGGGCACTTAAGGTATTTCTAAGTCTTGGCTATTATGAATAATGTTGCAGTGGACATAGGGGTACATATGTCTTTTTGAGTTAGTATTTTCATTTTCTTTGGATAAATACCCAGAAGTGGAATAGCTGATCATATGGTAGTTCTATTTTTAATTTTTGAGGAATCTCTGTACTATTTTCCATAGTGGCTGCACCAGCAGTGTATGAGGGTTCCCTTTTCTCCACATCCTCTCCAACACTTATTATTTCTTGTCTTTCTAATAATAGCCATTCTGTTGGGTGTGAGGTGATATATCATTGTGGTTTTGATTTGCATTTCTCTAATAATTAGTGATATTGAACATCTTTTCATGTGTCTGTTGGCCATCTGTATGTCTTCTTTGGAGAAATATCTGTTCAGATCTTTTGCCCATTTTTTAATCAGGTTGTTTGTTTTTTTGTTGTTGAGTTGTATGAGTTCTTTATATATTTTGGATATTAACCCCTTGTTGGATATATGATTTGCGCGTGTCTTCTCTCAGTCAATAGGGTGTCTTTTTGTTTTGTTGATGGTTTCCTCTGCCATGCAGGAGCTTTTTAGTTTTATGTGGTCCCATTTGTTTATTTTTTGTTTGTTTGTTTCCCTTGCCTGGGGAGAAATGATATTCAAAAAGATACTGCTAAGACCCATGTCAAAGAGTGTACTGCCTATGTTTTCTTCTAGGAATTTTATGGTTTTAGGTCTTACATTCAAGTCTTTAATCCATTTTAAGTTAAATTTTTTTAAAACATTTATTTTTTAATTTTTTTTTTTTTTCCTTTTTCTCCCCAAAGCCTCCCAGTACATAGTTGTATATTCTTAGTTGTGGGTCCTTCTAGTTGTGGCATATGGGACGCCGCCTCAGCGTGGCTCAATGAGCGGTGCCATGTCCACGCCCAGGATTCGAACCGACGAAACACTGGGCTGCCTGCAGCGGAGTGTGAGAACTTAACCACTTGGCCATGGGGCCGACCCCTCATTTTGAGTTAATTTTTGTGTATGGTGTAAGTTAGTAGTCTACTTTCCTTCTTTTGCATGTAGCTGTCCAATTTTTCCAAGTCTCTGAAGAGACTTTCCTTTCTCCATTATATGTTTTTGATTCCTTTGTTGAAAACTGTCTATAGAGGTGTGATTTTATTTCTGGGCTCTCAGTTCTTTTCCATTGATCTGAGTGTCTGTTTTTCTGCCAGTACTATATTGTTTTGGTTACTATACCTTCGTAGTATATTTTGAAATCAGGGAGTGTGATACCTCTGGCTTTGTTTTTTCCCCTAAGGATTGCTTTGGCTGTTTGAAGTCTTTTGTTTTTCCATGTTTTAGCTATTGTGAATAATGCTACTACGAACAAGGGTGTAAGAATATCTCTTCAAGACCTTGCTTTGAATTCTTTTGAGTATATAGCCTGAAATGGAATTGTTGGATCATATAGTAATTCTTTTTCAAATTTTTTGAGAAATCGCCATACTGTTTTCTACAGTGGCTATACCTCAACATTCCCACTAACAGTTCACAAGGGTTCCAGTTTCTCCACATCCTTGTCAGCACTTATTTCTAGTTTTTGATAGTAGCCACCCTAATGGGTGTGAGGTGTTATCTCTTAGATTTGGTTTGCATTTCCCTAATGATTAGTGATGTTGAGCGTCTTTTCATTGCTTATTGGCCATTTGTGTATCTTCTTTGGAGAAATGTTTATTCAAGTCCTTTGCCCATTTTCGAATTGAGTTTTTTTGTTGTTGAGTTTCAGGAGTTCTTTATATGTTCTGAATATTAATCCTTTATCAGACTTGTAAATATTTTCTCTCATTCTGTGGGTTGCCTTTTACTTTGTTCATGTTGTCTATTGATGCACAAAATTTAAAAATTTTCATGAAGTCTAATTTGTCTATTTTTTCTTTTGTTGCCTGGGCCTTTGGTGTCATGTCCAAGAAACCAACGCCAGATCCAAAGTCATAAAAAGAGTTTTATAGTTTTAGGCTTTAGATTTATATTTTTTGATCCATTTTGAATTACTTTTGGGGGGATCTGCTTTTAGGGAAAGGCTCCACCTTCATTCTTTTGCATGTGGATATCTAGTTTTCTCAGCACCACTTGTTGAAAAACCTGTCCTATCCCCATTGAATGCTCTTGGCATTCTTGTCAGAAATCATTTCACCATGGGCTGGCCCCGTGGCGTAGTGGTTAAGTTTGGCATACCCCACTTTAGCAGCCCAGGTTTGACCCCAGTCTTCAGCCATGCTGTGGTGGTGACCCACATGTAAAATGCGGGAAAACTGGCACAGATGTTAACTCAGGGCTAATCTTCCTCGGCAAAAAAAATTTAAAAAAAAATCATTTGATGGTAAATGCAAGGGTTTATTTGTGGGATTTCTCTTTTATTCCATTGGTCTGTATGTCTGTTTTTATGCCACTACTGCACTATTTAGATTACTGTAGCCTTGTAATTAGTTTTGAAATCAGGAAGTGTGAGTCCTTGAGCTCTGTTCTTTTATTTCAAGATTGTTTTGGCTTTTTTGGGTCCTTTGAAATTCCATGTGAGTTTTAGGATGCGTTTTTCTATTTTTGCAAAAAATGTCATTGATGTATTGATAGGAATTGCACTGAATATGTAGACTGCTTTGGGTAGTGTCGACATTTTAACAATGTTCAGT